TTCTTCTTCTTCTTCTTCTTCTTCTTCTTCTTCTTCTTCTCCTCCTCCTCCTCCTCCTCCTCCTCCTCCTTTTCTAATACCCCTCCCCCATTTTAATCACGAGGAAAAGTTTATTCTAGCAGCTCGTTCCTTCTAAATAGTAACACTTGCTGTCAAATGCTATTAAGGAGATTATGTTATCTCTTAGGAACAGAGAACGCTGTAGACAGGAGTGAATTAATTTCCAAGGGTGCCACAGTCACTTTAACTGGAAACTTCTTAATTGGAGCTGCTCGGAACAATGCACTGAAAAGCGACGAGGTGATTTTCTGCACATCCCTTGAGTTCCTTTCCAGATATTTGGAAAGAGCACTTTGACAACTCTGCCTTAGGGGTACCCAGGAGGGGGGAAGTATCAGAGAAGTCAAGATGGTCACTGTGAGGGCATGATCGAATGTTCTAACGGCTTCCTAGAGTTTAGCCTCCTACTCAAGGAAGCCTCTTTGGGGAGGAGAGGAGGTCCCATCTCCTGATCCACACCATGTCTGGAGAAGCAAAAGCCAGCCATCTACCCTTAATTTAAGCTCCACTCCTTGTAAAGCGGCGAAAAAGAACATTTCTGTTCTTAAAGCCCATCTGGGGCTGGGAGCCAAACATTTTCTCCGTCTGTTATGAGGCTCTGCTATGGATTTTGTTCCTGGCACTATTATGGCACATGTCTCCGGAGTGGCTTCTGATAACGCTCAAAATAAGATGGGTGAGCACAGAGGTGTGCTTCTCCTACCGACAACAGACAATTGTGGGGGGCATTGGGGGCAATTGCTCGGGTGAAGAAAGAGAGACCAGCGTTCATCCTGTCCAGTCTGGGGAGCCAATTCTTGTCAGTTGCACCATAAAGGTGGCGCGGCAGAACTTGAAGCAGTCAGAAAAGGAGGTTTATTTGTAATAGATAAGATTATGCCGGTAAAATGGTCACTGCTGCCAAACCTACAGGTACAGTGGGGAATCTTGACAGGTTCTTTGGGAAACACCCTACTCTTTGCTTAAAGCACACATTTTTCTTGCAAACAATTCTGTATAGGATTGTCCGCCAAATTCCTCCTCCAAAGCCAGATTGCTTCCTTCTAACCCAGTGTTGTCCAAACTTGGCCACTTTAAGATGAGTGGACTTCTACTTTCAGAATTCCCCAGCCAGCCATGCTGGCTGGGGAATTCTGGGAGTCAAAGTCCATTCATCTTAAAGTGGCCAAGTTTGGACAACACTGTTCTAACTGATTCTCTTTCCTGATTATACTCCCCCAAAAGGGCATCCACAAGAGTGCCAGATATACGTTTCATCAATCCATTAATAAATCCATAAGGGGGGGGGGTTAAGAAAAGTCAAAATGTCAGCACATTCCACGTATAAAGGGGGAGGGGCTTCAATTGTGTGATTACAGCCACCATCTTGACTGTTTTGACCCCTCCCTGCAGATACCCCATTCCCCAATCAAGTGAAGGTTTGGTACAATCCATGAAAGTTTCTGGAAGATCAGGTGCACTTCTTCCCTGGAAGAACAGTGAAGGGAACCCTCCTCCTCCTCCTCCCCCCCCCCCCCCCCCCC